TTACGGTAGCACAGGGACCAGACCAAAATGTCGCCAAGTGGTCGTCAAATTTAACATTCACTCTTACTTTTCAGGCATAGCTTTCTCTTAAAATTTGTCTCGCGCTAGATTATACAGTAAAATATAACAATTTTGTTTGTAATTCTACTAAATTTCACCGGAACAAGAGATTAAATAATTCTGTATTCAAAACTCATCTACAATTTTACGTCACGAGTAATAACAGAAAGGGAGTTCAAATAATGAAATCCGATTGAATTGGATTGTCAAAAATTTATATATTTATAAAAGCATGATAAATCCCTTGATAGAGGTAAATCCTTAACTTCATAAACATACCAAGGGCTGTCCATGTTTTCTACTCTTATGGCATAAAATTACAGATGCATTTTCTAAAGAGAATTATTTCTTTTTTTGTTGCCATGAAACTATATGATAAATTCTTTTATGCTTTCAGTTAATTTTTATATGTTTTAAATAAAACCTTATTTTATATAAAAATATTGTAATTGAAAACTAATCGTTATAAGGATGCTGGTATCTTTCTGAAGGTACCCCTTAATAAGTTTTCTGTGTTGGTGAAAAGTACGTTTTGCAGAGGTCTTACAAAATTAAAACTACGAAGAGTAAAGAAGTGCTTCCAATGATTCAGACAAGCATCTATCCAGAGATCAGACAAGCTTTACGATACAGAAGTTAGGAAATGGATGAATAACGTCAAATAGAAATCTAAAGATGACGAGACGAGATTAGATAGATATTTTCGATGTACAAATGTCTTCTTTGCTCTGTAGTGGACGGCTATTGACTGCTTTTACGCTCACTTGTGAAATCAAACTCAGAGAAGGAGAGGAAGCACATGCACAAATCTAAGATACTCTTGGGCTGCTCTTATGTCTGACACAAGCTGAAACTTGATAGTAGCATCAAGAGCAGAATGAAGACTGCTAGAGTCCTTCTAGAAAGTTTACTTTTTTGTTCTTCAGAAAAATGTTCTAGTGTTTCGTGTAAGAGGAAATTTTCGCATGAGATAAGTTCATACGATAATTTCGTCTTGGATGAAATCTAGTCGCTGTGTTATGAAGCGGATTTGAAATGTCAGGCCAAAAATCAGTATTAAGCCTCTCGGCATCCACAAGAGTGTGTGAATATCATAAATATTGAAAAATGAACTCAGATGCTTACTCTGGCTTTTTATATTTTACAACCGGCTGTCAGATTGATTTCTGTATAACATTTCTATGTAAAATAGTTATTCCCTTTCTATAATACCCAACGGACAAACTATAAATGCTAGTACATTCTTACAACACAACCTGGACGAAATTCCGAAAAAGAAAGTGTCTCTTCCATCTGGGATTTGCTTGCAAGATAAGATAAGGAACTGCTGTGTCCACCTTCATACTCTTCAGCCCTCTGGCTTTGATTTTGTCTTTAAACTCAAAAAAGGAAGCTTTACGAGGTTTTCTTTCTAATTCGCTTATCAACATTATGCCCTCAGTCCCTCTCTCTGTTCTTATAATTATAAATTTTTGGTTGCTGACTGTGTTATGAAGCTACCTTTCTGATGACAGATTCTCATAAATATATCGAATGGAGACTGCAGTGAGAATATGTAAAAGTGACTCTTTTTAGAAAAGTTATTGGAAATGGCGTACAACAAAACGATAATACAAATTGCGTTGAGCCTGAATGAACATCAAAAGGCTCCAAAAATCCGAAACTAAATTTCATAAACTTCGAATCTGAAGAAAATCTTTCTTGGATCTAACTGTCTTGTTAGCCGAAGAGAGGAATTGATTATAGATTATGGACTGAAAAATTGACTTCATAACAAATGTATCTTCCAATTACATCACTCCTGGTGATTATAATTTACAACGCTAGAGTATTTTCCATTGTGACCTTATTATTTTATTACACCAGTTTTCGATTTAGTAGTTTATAAATGCTTTCTTTCGGAATGTTATAAATTCAGTCTATGGAAAGTATTTCAGACATTAATGTTAGTTTTAAGAATGTTATTAATTCGCCTTGTTAAAATATTTTTCTTTAAATGCGAATTTAACGGTACTGAATGAAGTGATAAAGCAAAATTCCTACTAGTCCCAAAGGATTTAAGCTTAATAATGAAATATTTGCTTAAAGTATGGAATTGTTATAGAAGTTCTTAAGGATAATTTCCTTATTAAAAATTACAAAATACAGGTAACATTTGGTTTTGATTTTTTTTTATCATCCAGTATATGTAAAATTAAAAATGCAGAATTTGTATCGAAAGTAGATTTTCTTTGAAAGTGGAGAATGTAAGCAAGCAAATAAAGAGCAGTATTAAAAGAAAACGAATTTTTGAGATCCTTCTATTTATTTTGTATATTGCATTATAACTCATTATTTTAGTTTTAAAAATTTGACTGTGGTTTCACTGGTTGTTTACGATGACTTTATACTGTGGTGGTTTTCGCCCCTTTTACCCGGGTAAAGAAATCTGAATCTGAAATATGCTTTATAGCATGAAACGATTAAAATCTGCACTTGATTTATCAATGATGTATTATTCATCTGAAAAGTTCTGTTGATTGTCCAAACCTTTTCCTTTTACCTTGACTAGCTGAGTTACCCGGCTTCGCTCAGGGAGTTGATATGAGATTGTGTGGTAGTTGGAATAAAAGAATAAACTTTTAAATTTAAGAGGTCAAAACGTTTTATTGAAAACATATTCTAAGTATTTGCAATACTTGTTTATATGCAACATTTTACATTTTATTATCCGGGGTATATATGTAAAAATTTTTCGAATTTCCTACTCGAGAGCAAGCTGCGTATAAGCTGCAGTCAGAAAAGCAGGAGTCTTTGAGGTTGATGCCGCAATCTTTTAAAGTTTGTGCTTGCGCTTCGTTAATTGTAAAACTATAGGAGAATTTGATTGGAAATTGCAGTCTTTTAAATGTGAATAGCACTTCTGTAGATATCAGTGGTATTTTGGGGATAAATACTATGTGTCCTTTGTCCGTGCTAGTCATAAGTTCGACTTCGATGATGTGGTTCAATATCAGTTTAATGACCATACTTTTCCCATTACTCAGATTTGGTGAGATGAGATTTCTGAGAAGTATCATCGGAGATCCAGTTTTCAGTCGAAGTTAGTGTAATGGAATTCCTGGTATTTGCAAAATGGTTTAAAAATTCTGTAAGGAAGTTGACATTTTCTTCAATGTTTACCACCATGTCGATCGATTTGTATATATTGTCTCTTCACCGGGAATTTTCTTTTTAATATTGAAGTTCAAGGAGTTCGTTTTTAGTAGTTGCTATGTTGCAGAAATCACTGTTGAGTTTAATGAGGTTAGTCGTCTGGTCAGTAGGATACGTTTCGAATATTTGTAAAAGTATTTGAGCAACATGGGCTGTTGTTAGTTGGGCATGGCTGTTGTTTGAGCAACATGGGATGTTATCGATAGTTCAACTCTTATGTTTTGACGGAAGTGTTTTGATTCTGAAGCTTACTCGGTATTGTAAAGTAGAAATTCCTGCGGAGGTGCTTCCAGTGATCGTATTCGAATATTTCCATTCATGCAACAGATTCCTGCTGTTTCTATACTAAAATATTTCACATTGCAAAATTGGCAGATGTTATCTATTTTCCCGATTACGTCGTGTTTGTTATATTCTTTCGTCGGGGCGTAGTGGAATGCTTCATTTGTTAGGTTGTACTGTTTACTTGTCCTCGTCAGCACTTCTCATAGGAGTGCTTCATGGGAGGCTTGCTTTCGCAGTTTTTTATTATAAGATTGTGTCGTAATTCTTGAGTTTTCTATTCGTTCATTTCGTTGTTCTTTGGTTTCTGTGCTTCTTACATTTTCCTTCGTTGGGAACTCTTCGACTCTTTCATTTTTTCGCTGTTCATTTTATATTCGTAGTTTTGCTTAAAGCCTGCCAAGATCTCCTCTTTTGCTTTTGGGCATTCTATAAAATATAAATAAAGTCAACTTTTTACTAAGAAATACACTAAGTACACTTTACAAGCTTTTCACACTTTATTTTTTGATTTATATTCAGTCACTGTTTAATTACTCACACTTCACTGTTTCTTTTTACTCACTCACTGCACTTAACGGAAAAGAAACTCAAGTTCGACCACACGATGGATCTTGCTTTATATACTCCTACCAATGGGTAGCCCCACCGAAACAAAAAAAGGCTTCTAATGATCCACAATGTTCCAGAATGTTCACAGTGATCTAGGATGTGCCGGGATGTTTCTGTATCTATCTACCACACTGTTCTCCAACATTCCACAGCATTCCAGAGTGTTTCGGGATGTTTTGGAATGTTGTGGCATGCTCTCGAATGTTCTAGACTGTTCTAGAAATTTATAGAGGCCTTCAAAACACGCCCGTCAGGTAAAAATGGGAACCGTCTTCATAGATGGGGCAGAGATGGCTACCACACCATATAACTCCCTTGATCGTACTGGGAGTCGTTTCTGAGTTTTAGAGGCCCGCACTTTGTACACTTTCATAATACGTATTGATTATTTCTGATAAGAAGTTTGGAGTTTGTTAAACAATACCTGGATATTATCTTTTTCAGTAAATCTTATGAAATGCTTGGTAGAAAATTTTTCCAGCCATCAGACAGAATGACAAAATTTCTTTGGAAAAAAGTGTAGTATATATTATACTGTAAAATTTCCAAAACCATATTTGTATTTCTTAACAAAATTTTACCTTTGGAAATTCGCAGAACTAATAAATAAGAATGAGTCTGGATGACTCACCGTTATTCATTTTGAAGTGTTACAGTTAATATAAGAGGAAATTTAGTATTAAATTTGTGCATTCATGGTTCTGAAATCACGGTGTTTTGTCTAAGAAAATCATAGTATGTACATGTGTTTTCAATTATTCTTTATATCTGTTTTAGTGTTAATTATCATTTTTATCTGTTTTAGTGACAGAAAGGCTATTCATATATATACTGAGGAACATTTATTTCAGGTTCTTTATCTAGAGCCGAATCTAGGTATCAGTTATGAATATTACGTTCCTGCGAACTCTACTTATCCAGATAATTATATTTGGGTGTTTGGTGATTTTGAAGCATGTTCACAAACATGTGGTGGTGGTAAGAAATTTATGTATATTAGTTTAGGAATATTTGGAAGCTTGAATATAATAATATGTTTACTAAATTGATTTAGTGTTATTTAAAATAAATGTGAAAAAAGATGAATTTACTTTCATTACTTAATTTTTTTATGTATATTTTATGACATGTTTGGGTAGTCTATATTTTGGGATACCCCTTGGATTATTGCCAAGTTGTTTTTCATTTATGTTAACCTGAGTATTTTACTATGTATGTTTCGGAAACCCATTCGTGACATCATTGGTTGTAATGCATAACCGTGCAGATTTTGATCGTTCGCAGAATATTTCTCATGGCTTATTTCCCCGTTGGATGTCGGTTAGGAAGCAAATTGCCTATTTTGTGATTTGCACCTAAAAATGGCTGCCAGTGGTAAGATTAACCTGAAGATTCTGTACGATTTCGAATGAATTGGAAAGAAAGCATTGAATGACTGGTATGTAAAGGAAGATTTAATCAATAATCTGTAGTTTCCGTTTGTAAGAAATAAATGTATATTGTCGAACGCAAAAATTGTTCCTATGGCTCTCAGTGGCTTTGTTGTGAGAAAGGTTCAATGCTCACTATAAAAGTATTACATTAGAAAGGGATCACGGTTTGAGAAGAGTTATTTGAGTATTATTCAGAGTTTGGTTTTTACGTGGATGTGGTTCTATAAAGCTAATACTCAAATTAGTTAGGTAGTTTTAAATATGAACAATGATAAGACCACAACTGATTGAAGAACTTTTGTAGGGATATGTGAAATGATATGTATTCGTAAAGGTGAAATGACTGGCGGTCTGGATATGATTGCTGAAATAGACGGGAGTAAATTTGGTTAAAGGAAATATAATATAAGTAAACGCGTGGAAGGAAACTGGATGTTAGGTGGTATAGAATGAGGGAACGGAAAATGTTTTTAGGTGGTTCAGGACAAAAGAAAAGAAACTTTGTTGGATGTAATTCAGTGGAATATATTATCTGGAATAACGATCATATCTGATTGCTGGAATTGTCTTTATGATTATGGCTTCGTTCACCTTAGTAAATCACGTAGTGACATTTAAGGATTCGGAAACCGGAACTGATATCAACACTATTGAAGGTATGCGGGGTGTAATAAAAAGGGTCTTTTGAAAGAAATGCCACCGACAATCCGGCACTACGGAGTACATTTTTATATTCTTCTGTGAATTTAAGTGACGAAGGTAGTACACAAATCCTAGTTCAGATAATTTCTAGCATTTCTTGGGTGCTGTTAAGGAATTCTCTGTGCGACACACCGAAGACATAGAAATAAGAAAATTAAGTTAATATTTCCTTTTTGTACTGTGCAGATTGGATAACATTTATTTCCATTTTTTATGTTATTTCTTTATTTCTTTGCTTTATTTTGTTTTAAAACACAGTTTATTGAGGTTATATTATTATTCAGATTATTTATTATTTTTTATGCTTTAACTATATTTTATTGGTTTATATTCTGTACTCAATTTTACTTGCGAGGCGTTGCACGTAAACACGAATGGCGCCAAAATTCGCCAATTTTAGTCAAGAGGAGACACTAAAATATATTTTTTCCACATATTCTTACAAGGAAATTTCCAGAAAAAAATGCATGAGAACTCTTATTCAAGTGTATGTCCTACAGGATAATCATTTGTCTCTTAATATTTACATTAATAATGTCTCTTATGAGGCAAAACACTGTAGATAGTGTACTTATTACTTACACCAGAAATAAGGAATAAAATGATTAATATGAAAAAAAAAGGATTTTCAGGTACAGAGATTTACATTTTGAAAACCAAGCAGCAGCAGTGCATTGCTGTATAGTAACAAGATTAATACTATTCATATAATTGATTCATGTAGCCTAGGATATGCACTAATGAATGAATAAACATAAAAACTTTATGCGATAGAGTATTACAATCATATTTATACTTACTGAGAGCATTGTTCCAATAAGAGGCTTTACAACGCTTCTCAGTCATCTTATCTATAATTATAAAAAGTCATGATTTTTTTTTTCTTTTGGGGTGTAATTGTTAGCATAACTAATATTCTGTACGCGATAACATTCTGTATGTGATCTATGGTATTAGAGAGATTTATAGTGTTATGTTAACAAGATGGGAAAAACAGAAATTCATATTTCATTGCAATGTTTCATTCAATTCTTCAAGAAAGAATAGTGAAAAGTATATGTTGAACTCCCAGCGCTGCTAGCAGTAATACATCACTGCACATTTATTATGGTAGCACAAGCATGTCCTACAGTAAATTTTATGCAGGTATAATTTATCTTTCACACTTCTTTACATTTCTCGCACTATCAAGTTCCTTTTGCAGTCTGCAGATGTTTTTTTATCTAAAATTTAGGAAACATTTTGGTACTTCTCCGTTATGCACCTGCCACGCATTGTGGATTTTAAACTGTAATAAGAATTGTTTATAGATAGCACTTGCTTACACACAGGGTACGTTTCCATTGTAGACACATGCCAAATTTAGCCACATTTTTAACCTTTCATAACAGCATTTTATTTACTTGGTAGTAGTATGATAAAATAAACTATTACCTCCATGTAATTTATACACATTCCTTGTTTATTTCATTGGTTTTCATGCAATTTGTTTTAATTACTTGCTAAAAATTTGGTACTTACGTATCAACACAATCACCTTGGTAGAAAATGCTAAATTTGCGGGTTGTGCCAAACTGTGGCAAACATGGTCATAAAAACTGCTTCATTTAATCAAGGCTTCTATCTTCTTATGTTTTCTTATTTTACTCATTCCAAGTTCAAGCGATTTCTATAAACAAATCATGATATTTTTTTTTACTTGAACTTAATTTTAAAATATGAGTTTATGAAATTAGCCTGCAGTGGAATAAACTGTGATGAAATTTCTGCACGAATACAGGATTTCGCTGAAAATTTTCTAAAGGGAACAACTAGGAAATTCATTTTGTAGGTAGCCGCTGTTGCCAAGGTTTGCACGAAGCCACGTTTCTAATATTTTTTAAGCAAAAACAGATGGCTGAGTCCTTCCTGAGAAAAATAAATAAAAAAATTATGGAAAGATTTGAAGAATGTAAATGTTTTATTTTTTTAATGTATCATGTAATCCTTATTTAGTAATTCAAAATCGTATTTTAAATTGCTAAGGTATATTTTCGTTTGATATGTTGATAATGTTTGCCGACTTACAATAAATACCGATACTTTGCGAATTTTTCTAAAAAAAGCCTCAAAAACCCCCAGCTTGCACCCAACAAGTAGCTTTTACCTTTTCATCTGTAAAAAACTGCCGCATTGCACGAAGGTTGGTTGAGTTTACATATATACCAAAAATGTTTGTATGTGTTTATGTATGGATCATATTCTTCAAGCATCAGATATAATTAAGAAAAGAAAATTTACTCTTAATAAGGTAAATTTCTCTTCACCTTAAATCTTTGAATTTATGTTATCCGGTGATTATGTGGAAATATTCATCTAAAGTCCAATGAGTTTAGCTCATTTTATTCGTTCAACAGTTGAAACTCTGAACAAAATCTAAGATTCATCTAATACCAGTCTCTGATTTTTAGAAATCCAGTCTTGCAGAACATTGTAGCTGCTTAATTATCTCAATTCATACCAGATTCCATGCTTTAACACAGCTCGTTAACACAGAGGCTTTGTTTTAATACAAAAAATGCAGCCTATTAACCAACCTTTTTTATTGTTATTAAACAGAATTTGCATATAAAATTAATTCCATATTTCAAATTTATGTAACAGTTTGTATTTTATTGATTTTTTTTTAAATGTAAAATTAATGTGCGTCTCAGATCAAAAATTGAGATGACTGCTTTTTTGTTATTTTCTCCAAATTTCCAGTATTAAAATTCTGTTATAGCTTAAATTTAGAAGTAGTTTATAAAATAATATGGTATTTTAATTCATAGTTGATATATTTAAATAATTTATGATTACATTTACATGAATGCTTTATTCCAGTTTTAATATTTTATACGTCCTGGTTAAATTTTTCTCATTTAAGTGGTAAACGGGAGATAAAGATGTAAAATTTTGTGAATAGTTTATTTTAAATATTTTATAAGCACATTTATGTGTATATATGTATATTTCTTCTCATGAATTCTTTCTAAAAATATAGGTACGCAGGTTAGACCTGTTCGATGCATTCGCAAAAGCCACAGGGATATTGTTGATGATAAATTATGTGATCCTGCACTGAAACCAGATGTTAACAGTTCTTGCAATAGTCAGGCCCTGTTCAGCAATGTAAACATAAATATTTTATTAATATTGAATACAAAATAGTGAAAACTTAATGTATGGGAGTATACTTTTTCAGTGTAATCTATTTGGATTTTGTAATAGGCAAATAATATAATGAAATATGAAAATTAATGACACCTTCATTGATCTGATGAAAAGGGTTACATCCTCTAATAATGAATAAAAGTGTTCCTTTTGCTTAAATGTTGTCGGTATCGATATTTTATTAAGACAATCATTTACTTTTTTATCCTTTAAAGACAATACTCGATGCCTCTGGGTTGTGGAATTTTCAGCATCATCTTCGCCGTCTGACCATTTCCTCTTCACCGACAGGACAGTCTGCTGATTCGCCGACCAAGTAAATGAAATATGTAATAAAAGTTGCTTATAATATATATAGTTCTTTACAAATATGGGATATAAAGCAATTACACATAGTTAATTAAAATTATGTCATTATCCAATAGAACAAAATAATCTCATTTCATAATTATGGGCTAAACCTCTATTGAGAAAACCCCTCCAAATAAACTGTTTACCTGAAAAAAGATCATCAGTTCTATGTAATATTTTAGTAAATATAGCAGATAACTGCAAAAGTGTTTCCTTTTTTTAAGACAATCAGATGTATGCAGTATGGTAAACAAAATTATTAAACTAAATAAGCTGAATGATGTTATATAAAAAAGGTACAATATAGGCATGGGAAGAAAAATACCTCGATCATAAATTAAATGAACAACATTATTAAAATACATAAATTCAAAATCATATGGCAAGATATAATATCAGCAGTTAAAGAAAAATATGTTTTTCGGTCCGACAGCATAATAGCGGGTTGGAGAAATGAAGGTGAAGTCAAAACGGCGAATAGTACAATTTTGCATACCTCCATACTAGTACTTTCCCTTAAAATGCATATTTTTTTTAAATAAAACTGATTTTAAATTTTAGGTATTTATGTATTATACCATCAACCATGAAGCAGCCTAATTTAGCGCCAATTATAGATAAGCCTTATGTAACAACATACTCGCAATATCTGCACTTTCATCTGACATAACCTCAATTTTTTCTCGATAAGCCATGTTTCATTTTTATGAGCAAGGTTATAAATTAACAGTTAGTGTTGTACTTTATCATACATTTTGTAAAAAAGTATTAAAATTTAGGCTCTGCAGAGAAGTTAGCAATGGATTATGTTTAATGTTTTGATATCTTACCATCAAAAAAAGTGTGTATCAATAGACACAATATGGCTAGCAGAATATGGCTAACAAAAGAGTATTAGACTAGAAAAATTACCTATGGGAAGTTTGTACGCATAGCGTTCTAAATTCAGCTTCCGGCAAATTCGGAGGGTTAGTTAGTTCTAATCAATGAAAGCCTTTTCTCAAAGTGGGTCAAATACTGCTTGTTTATAAAACTCGAGGTGTCATTATTCCGCAGGAATGATTGGCACAACTTTGACAGGATCTCTGCCAGTTTCTATGTTTCGATGATGGTCAGCTTTCACTGACGATACGGTGTGCTTTCATTCTTGCCGTAAATTCTTTACCTATTTCTCTGCTAATGCTCTGAATTGGGAACACTTATTGGAGGAGGGATGAAAACAAATAACGAATTGTTTTTGAAATTTGTGGTATAAATAAACTTATTTAAATTCTTGAATAGAAGTGATTTTTAAAATCATTTCCTGTGGCAAAAAATAATATTTTGTTATATATAATGCCTATTTTTATTCGCTAATTCCATATTGTTATTTATAATGTATATTTTTCTTCAATATCTTCTTTTAATTTTTTGATGTGATAGTTAGATAAATTATAAATAATTAAACAAAATTTTAATTTACTTGACCTGATAGTCATTTAATCTACACTGACGAGCCAAAATATTATACCAATCCCCACGATTTTCAATAATATCATCTGGATGAAGTGGAGGACATGTGATTAAGAGGGAATGGCATTAAACTGCTGCTGGAGAAGGTAAAGGGTAAAGGTAAAGGTAAAGGTAGAAGTATGGGGGACACTAGCGATGTACCATAGGTCAACTGGTAATGCCTTCCCATACTAACTCTTTGGGGGAAAAAAAGGGGGCAACTGCAAGTTTTATAAGAATTTGCATATACGGAAGCTTTTCAAAATTTCTAGTGCTGGAGAAGGTGAGGAATCATTCCTGCACTTATCTTTGTGAGTGATGGAAAAGGCTTCTGGTCTAAGCGAATTTGGGGATAGATTGTAATGGCCCGAAGACTCGGAACGAGTATTTCCGAAAATGCACGACTGGTAGTTGTTCGCGATCTGCCGTTGTTAGTATTTATTCAAAGTGGGTGGAACGTTCTGCAAAGTGATGCAAAACATCATTTTCAATTAGGAAATGCTGTCAACAATGAAAAATGGCAGAGATCTTTCCAAACTTGGCAGAAATTTGAAGGACCAAATGGCTGTTTATTTAGTTAATCAAAGTACACACATTCTGGTCATAATATAAAAAAACTTAATCTGCATATCATAATTTTTGACTTTGCGCAGCTAAATTTAGCCATTTGCACATAGATAGTTGCTCTTTTCTTGATGAGAGGATCCAATTAAATTTGAAAATACTGTACTGCATATTGTTCCATTGAAGACAAGTTCCAAATTTTAATAATTCTTTCAAAATGCGATTGGAAAACTGCTAAACTGCAGTTAACTTATATTGTTTTTTATAAAAATTTTAAACTAAGTTATCGAAATTTGATTGAGTTTGCATAAAAGTCAATGCATTACATTATGCTTACCCATTATTGGCGCTAAATCCTTTTAGATTGATGCTACAGTTTGGTTATAGTTTTTGTTGATTCGAAATGTAGTCCTGTTTGTGCTTTAAACGGAGTTACAAATCTCTTATTTGTTTAAGGTATCCGACTACGTTCTAATAATCAATTTTGATGAAATTTTTTAATGTTTTCATTATTTTATTTTAAAACTTATACATCAAGATTTCCAAAACTACTTTTATTTTTTCCTTCCGGTCATTAGAAGCAGAATTATGGCTGTTATTGTTTTACATCATGAATCGAATTTCTTTAAGAATCCGGAAGTTGATGTCTAGAGGCATACAGAGCTCTCTAAATAATTTTAAAATGAGAATTTTTCATTTGAATAATTTTGATGATGCTCAAAAGATGATTTTGAACATTTCTATTTGTTATTAAGCACTGAGAAACAAGATCTGTTTATACAATTTAAGTTTCATACTTCGCAACATTTTCTTTTCCTTTTGTTTGTGTTTGCATGACATAAAACCTAACTTGAAATCCTTGATCTTTTCAACATTTCTGTCACGGAAAACTTAAAATAATACCATAGTAATTTAATAAAACTTTCCACAAATATTCTATGAAATATTGTGAATTAGGTGGACTAAAAATTTGGGTTTATGTACATATCTGGCATTTTTTCAGATAATTTTATAAATGAAAAGAGAAATTTATTGAAAAATAGCTAGTACATGTACTAAAAAAGATACAGTTAATAGACATTTTACTTTAGATTCTAGTCCATTATTCTTTATACTTTAATAAATATCAGTGACAAAGATAAAAGTAAATATTGTAAAATATTTTTGTGGAAACGTATCTAGTAAGTCTGGATTTTAATACATTCCTAGCTCAAAATATAAGGAAAAACTAGAAGTCATATATTGATAATATGTTCATCAAACGTTTCAATCATTTTACGTAGTATTCTGCTAAATACCACCAATAATAGATTTTATTCTACTAGTTTCCAAAATTTGAGTGCTTAACATAGTCGCATACCTTAATTTTACGTTAAAAAGTTTTTAAAATTAAATTAATCCAATTAGTTCAATACTGGACAGTTGGGCTTTTACTGTAGTGTTTTGATACTATCCCAGTCTAAGTTTCAAAAGGACGTAATGTTCCTACAAAATCAGATTGGTTTTAATCTTTAACTTTCTAGTTGTGAGATGTCTCAGAAAACAAAAATAAAACTTTTATACAATTTTAATTTAATTTTAACATCGTAAGTATGATTAAAGCACAGCATTTGGATGCCTATCTCAGGAGGCCTATCAAGTGGGTACGAGCCAATAAGTTGGAAAAATCTTTAAAAAAAAAGAAAATATATCATAATATTTAATCTTTTTAAACGTTAGCTTATTCATCTTGCAATATATGCGTTATCTGGCAAATATCACTGCTCTGAATGATACTAAAATTAGTAATAGACTTGAAAGTTCTACTCAGTTTACCTTAAAATTGTCTCCGCGAACTGATTCTTCTTTTTAGGCACTTAGCCCTTGTGTGCTTGGCTATGTTCGAATAAACGATCCTGCTATCTTAAATCACCAATATATTTCAGCTTTTATATTGTGAATTATTTATAATTTTCGAACAATCATTTTATTGCAGAAGAGATTTTCATTTTTGTTTTTACGGTTGAGTATTAAAACCAGAAATCTCTAGCTTGGCACAAAATAATATATAATTACTAATTAAAACTGCTCTAAATATATCTGAATTAATTGTGCCAGGAAAAGAAAGCAGACAAAATTCATATCTGCTATATTCTTTCCAGAATTATCATTTATGTAAACAATTTGGATAGTGAGGTTAAATCTTTATACCTCTGTTAAATCTGCACACATCTGATTTATTTTCAAACTTATGACATCATGCAAATTTTAAGTTTAAAAGCTTAATGTTGAATTAAAAGTTCAATCTGAATTCTTTTCTAATATTTAGTAATATGATAAATTATTGGATACTTAAAATGCATAAACTAAATTTTTATTTTTCAGCTATGGTTGGAAATTTGGACACTGGTCTGAATGCACTCAAACTTGCGGAGGTGGTAGTCAGTTTCGTCTTGTGTTTTGTTATCAACATTTCGAGGAAAATTCTAGCCTTGTAGATGAAGAAATGTGTCAAGAGTCAAAACCTATTTTCATGCGTGCCTGTAATTTAGATAGCAAATGTCCTGACTGGGTGATTGGAAAATGGTCAGAGGTACAAATTTATCTCATTTTAAATTGCTATGCATATTGTTATGTATAATATATGTTTTAATCCACTTTTTAAAAACTTAGTGGAAATGCTATGTAATTAAATGATTTTATGGTGTTTTCCGTTATGCGCCTGCTATACATTTTGGCAAGTTTATTAACTGTAAACACAAAAAAATGCATTAAATTGTCATTGTTGTTGTTAATGGTCACTTGTCTGAACTAAAGTGAGCCCAAGCCCACGAGATTCTTCCTAGCATGGAACCCAAGTTTACACCTGCCGTTGGCAACAGCCTGAGCACCTCACACGTGAACAGTGCGATTTTGCTCAGTTCCGCCCTCAATTTTGATTGAGAGTACTCCGGGGTGGGACTCCCACACCTCTTCGCCTACCACTAACTTCACAAGAGGACTTTAGGCTCGCCGAATATTTAGAGTGCTCCCATGCCGCGCGGACACTATACAACTACAAACATCCCTGATTTCCCCGGAATTCGAATCCAGGCTCTTTGTCATGGCAGTCAGCAACGCTAACCACTAAACCACTTGGGCGGCACGCATTAAATTAAACACGCCCACAGAAAAAATGGTTTGATCCCCAGATGGTGTTATCATTGGGTCGCCACATGTGTTTGGATCCTATTTTGCAGGTGCTAAAAAGCATGACAGGTGCTTAATAAAAAAGTAATTTTAATTTAGCCAGGATCTGAATTTTCAAATCATTTGTAAACTAACTATGTATTTAAACATATAGCATTAAATAATCTTTACCTTGAACGTTACATCTTATAAGCTATTACTTTAATTTATTTTTGCATAATATTTTATGAATTTTGATTAATCGCTTTTTATTTGTTTTGCAAAGCACTAAATTGATTGTACTAAACTTCTTATGAGTTTTATGAACTCATTTAATTTATTTGAACTGATATGTTGTATTTTAAATCTCCTGTAAAATAATCTGGATTCATGTCTAAGATTAAAAACTGACGTTTTAGCTGTTGTTCAAGCAACACAATAGAAATGATTTAAAAATTTTATAGTGCGATAGTCCTTGCGGTTCCGGAAATCACACGCGAACCGTCGAATGCAGATCAAAAGAAAATGATGAAGTCATAGAAGAATCATTGTGTGATTCAGTCAGGAAGCCGACCGATTTTCAGAATTGTAATCTTGGACCATGTGAAGGAGTGGAATGGATAGTCTCTGATTGGAGTGGGGTAATGTGAGCCATTTAGTGTCATAACTTGTATCTTCTGTTATGTCGAAAATTTTAATTGTATTAATGTTTTGTTTTAAGTTATTATTATTCTAGTATTTTTATTTGTACTCATGTATATTTTAATCTGGTAAAAAGAGTATTCTTAAATTGTTAAACTTTATTTAGCTCGTTATTCTTAAAACTGTAGTGTAACAAAGACAGGAAACATTTACAAGAACACATCTGGTTTATGGCCTTTTTGCTTAACAGTAGAACTGAAGGCAGTTACGGTGTTTGTCGACTCGTTTACTACGAAAGTAGTAAATCGACATTCTCATTCTCATTTGCTTTGTTATATTTGTAATGTTTCCTTCAGTAAGTTTAGGTAATTGGAATTTCTTATCACTAGTTTCCATTTGTTAGCTGGGGGTTCTATTTCCCACATTTTTCCCGAAGTAAGATGGTCAGGACATCATTTTCAGATTTTTCTTGTATTTGATTCGTTGTGGGGGTCAAATTTCTCAGTTGAAGATAAAGTAAAGTTCTGGGGTTGGTGAGATTTAATTTTATGATTTTTTTGTAAGCCTATGAAGTATCGGGGGCGGAGAGACCGAGTTTACCTCGGAAGCTGCACAATGTTAAGATGACTGAATGTATCCACTGTTGTGCTGGATTATGCCCTGGAAGCAAAGTCATTCGGATACTGGTTCTGATTTTTGAGCTAAAAGGAAAAGGAAAAGCAGAAAGTGTCTTCCCCCTTGCGGGGCGAGCGACGTGAACCAGCGGGATGCGATTATGGTTGTAGCGGAGTCTGATTAGAGTAAATTTTGGGCAGCTGCGATGTGAAAGAGAAAGAAAGGAGGGGCGTTCTGCCCCGCAGCGGGCTTCCTGAGGAAGAAGGCTTGGGTTGCGTTTTCTTTGCTCTAGAGGCTGCACTCTTTCTGCGAGATGTTTAAACGTTTTTGTGCCAGATGCAAGGAACTTTTTCCTCTGGAGAAAAGTGCGCGAGCTGCATAGAACATTTGACTGAGAGCTGATTACTACTTTAATGAGTGATAGTTAATTAACTGACACTTGGAAGTTCCGGAACGACGTGAAGTTATTACTATCCGGCTCCTGTGGATCCTGACGCCTAGACGTTCCACACAGAAATATGTTCCTGAAGAACGATCTCTTCCCTGATCTGGCGTTTAGTTTTACAAAAAGGACTTCACTTCGTTTCCAGATATTCTTGTGCAGAATGGACTTCAACGCGCGAGTGTTGGTTTATTAACTGTAATCAAGGTGTTGGCTCAAGGAAACACACTTCCTCCGTGCAAAAAATTGAACACTTTCCTCAAGATTATATGTTTCGTAAAATCTCTGAGTGATTTTTAAATTTGTCTACCTCTCTATCTTTTCAAATTACTTAGACGAAAATCATTTATTATAGATATGTAAACTAGTAAGTGATTAGAATATTTTGAATAATGACCAGTTAATTTAAAGTGTCTAAATGAAGGTTTAAAGATTTGTTTTACCAGCTTAAGTAGTGAGCTAGTAAATGTCAAAAATAGTAAACTTACAAATTAATATGTGTACGTTAATTTTGGAATGAGATATGTGTTATTTTGCATCTTAATGTTTATTAATTATTGTAAGCTGTAATTGTGTGTGACATTATGTGTTACTTTTCATAGTAAAATATGTGGTAGGATTACTGATCAGTTATCCATTATTTAGTAATATAATAATATTCTGGAATTTAATAAATGTGTGTTTAAAATTAAATTGCATTTGTTTATTTATATCTTGGGTGTATTTTTACGGTCACTCCATTTGTTTGAGCCGGGAGCTTTTTAAGAAACATGAAGTTATATTTAATTTGGAGTTATTGTTACTGATTCTTCCTTTTACACGGGTTCTCACAACGCGCCCTGATGCACTAACCACTTAAACTAATTGTTTTGATTATGTGTTGAGGTTTAGTGATAAAAGAAATTTACGTGCCATGCTGGTTTTTCACTACTGATAGAATTTCACTTTTGTTTTGTTAGTTTTGTTAGTTTGTCCGGCACCAAGGTAGATAAGGAAAAGTGAAAAGTCAGTTCAAGGTGTAAAGTATAAAAACCCCTAATTTTCAGTAACGTAACAGTTCTTAGTGACTCAATAAGTGAAAACTTAAGCTGAACTAAAAACTGTGCGGAATGATTTGAATAAACCAATGAAGCAATATGTTCAATATGCTGTAAATTTTAGGATTACTATGAGTAATTTAAATATCTCAATAGGTCTTGTGATTTATTAAACTGGTAATTTGATGCATTTCTGCAGTATCTGTGTATTTGTGTGAATTTAACATCAATCCCTTATTACAAAATAATTAAAAAGGAAGAATTCAAGTAATCTTTCCAACAACATTAAAAGAGTTTAAGCTTCATAAACCAAACTGAAAATGATCTTTGCAACTGAATTCAAAATTTAAATTTATTTAGCATTGCTGGGTTTATTAATGAAACTGAAAGTAAGGTCTGAAGCTTAGGTCTGCATTTCATTTATCTTAATCTGTTAACTCTTCTGATACCATTTTATTTCTAGACAGCATAAAAATTCAGTATGCAAAGTATGTAAAGTTAAAGATAAAAAATTCTTTAGTTTAACACCTTCACAACGGGTGTATCACATATACGTCAGTACTTAGTCCACTTACGTGACAGCAGGCTGTCTTCTTTGAGCAACTCACCTTGGAGACGGTGGGCTGTTGCAGTAGTGCGATCTTGCAGGACAGGGTATTTCGTGTCGCTAAGCCCAACTTAAAAGAAATTCTATCAATAGCTTTTATTTTTCCTGTAATAATATCTAACAGTAATATAGTCAAAAATACATAATATCAAGACATTTTGAAAGAAATTTAATCAAAATCTACATCAAAAAATATTTGACTCATCCTGATTATATGTTTTACAAAACTTATCTAAATCTATATCTAAACACGTGTGAAAAATAATAAAATATATGATTAAATGTTATAGCATAAACTATTTAGAGAAGAGTCAGTGTGTGACAGTCTGGTTGCTAGCATTTCATTAGTTGTGAAATCCATTTTGAGGTCGGACATTTAAGTTATTTCCAATAGAATAATTAATCTTAGGAATCTCCTCATTTTAGACACATCTGCAGGGAGAAACGTTGCTGATTTTGGATAAAGTGAGTTTAAACTCACCTTTTGTTCATATAAATTACTAATTTTTTTTTTCAGTTATGTTCATTAGGATATTATCAAAATGGTGGTGTATTTAATTATGGCAAAGCACACGAGGGCTATCTGCCTAAAGGGAGGGATGCCTTTCGTGGAGGACTTTCTAAGGGAAACTGGCTCGTATACACGTTACACATGGGGAAAACCACGAAAACGCCCATGCAGCCAGCCCGTTCGCGGGATTCGAACCTCAGACCGAACTACCAGTGTTCAGCGTCTTTACCGCTCGGCCGCTGGTGGGCTATTATCAAAATGAATATTATCATTATATCATCATTGAAAAAAATAGTGAAAAAAATCAGTTTTAGACGCATAATTGAACTATTTACTCCTGCAATTCTCGTAAATTCATAACGCTTTAGTTACTTAGCAAATGAAGTTTATGATGTATCCACTGTTGTGCTGGATTATGCCCTGGAAGCGAAGCCAGCTTCCAATTCAGTCTCTTACAAAGTCTCAAGATGCAAATCGCTACCCTCACTTTAATCTGTATAGCCTTCGGTATCAGAATAGTTACTCATGGGCTTAATGGAACAAGAGTGTATTCGACATTTAACGCAACAAGAGTATATTCGACATTTAACGGAACAAGAGTATATTCGAATAGTAAATGTACCATTCAAATATACTCTTATTCCGTTAAAAATTCTTTCTTTAGGCATCACAATATTAGTTCGATTCTCTTAACCGGTGCAAAAAAACGTAAAGTCTACCTCTATCTAAAGAACTCTACTATCTAAAAAAGATGCAAATTGAATGCAAACGAGAATTCTTAAAGCCGCAGCTCCACTCCCAATCTAACCATAGGAAAAAAACAAAAACAACTCGGAAGCATTAAAATATTTATATCACGTGAAGCTTCAGCTGCACTTCGACTAGGTTTTGTTTACTTTATATCTTATACTTGTATATATAATGGAATCGCCAAAAAATACTTTACAGACACAAGAGTCAATAATGTATAGGTTTAAATAAGCTAACTGTAGTGGACACGAAGTGCCATCTAGTGATTTAAAAAAAAATAAAAGAACATATATGTTTTAAAGTGCATATGTGATACACCCGTCTGGTAGATCAATGTAAGTGGCAACGCACTAACGCATCCTCCGGCTGCTAGTGACATTTAAAACTGATGCATATCTGACATGCCTTTCTCCAAAGGGTTTTCAATTCAGCAACATGTCATTGCGAAAAGGTTAAAAAAGACCTCAGCTCTTATAGGGTGCTCAATGAAGTATTTCAGTACGGTGCTGCGAACAGTATTTTTTTCCGAAACTGCTGATCATTAAAGAATGCAAATCAAATAAGAAATACTTATAATATTTATTTCTTTACCTCAGTTAAAATTATAAGTTCTTATATACATATGTTATCATGTTTCTTATATGTAATTTGGCATTTCTTATTATAGTATGAGCCCACCAGCGGCCGAGCGGTAAAGTCGCTAAACACTGGTAGTTCGGTCCGAGGTTCGAATCCCGCGAACGGGCTGGCTGCATGGGTGTTTTCGTGGTTTTCCCCATGTGTAACGTGTATACGAGCCAGTTTCCCTTAGAAAGTCCTCCACGAAGGCATCCCTCCTCTTAGGCAGATAGCCCTAGTGTGCTTTGCCATAATTAAATACACACACACATATTATAGTGTGAAGGTTCTTGTATCCTAAACGTGGAGTCCAGGGAAGCTCATTGTGCAGATGAAGATGGTGTGGTATTTCCAGATGATGCTTGTGAAGCTGGCAAACTCCCTGAACTTACTCGACCATGTGTCTCTGAAGCAGAAATGTGTGAGCCCATGTGGCATACTTCTCAATGGACTGAGGTGAAGCATTTGTTATATGAAACTTCTAAAACAACATATTAAATAAGCATAATTAGTTTTTTAAAGAGCAAAATTCAATTCCAAAATATTTTGGGATGGGACTGATCCATTACTGTTTAAAAACTCCAGAGACTGATATTTGCATTCTGAGCTCAGCCACTGGCTGCAAAATGTATTCCTGTAAGAGTATTTTCGTAGTATTCCCCATTGTCTAATAAGAACTAATCTTTTAAGAAAGTTCTTTTTGCTTTTCACTTCATTCAAATAATTCTGAGATTTTAGGCTGCAATAAATTATTAATTTATTCTTCTTCTGAGGAAAGAAAAAACTTCTTCTAGCAGCCCCTGAGCAGCCAGTTTAGTAAACACCAGTTGTTCAATCCAAGTTTCGGATACTGACGAACAGATTGCCTGTATGGGAATTTTCTTGGTTTTCCTCAAGTGTAACGTGAATATGAGTCAGGTTTCTTTAAAGTGTCCTCTATGAAGCCATCTCTCTCCTTGGGTAGTGTTTCCCCTTCCTATTATGTGTTTTGCAATAATTCATATAAATAAATTTATCCACAAAAGTTTGAGGATTTTAAAACCATGTTACAAAATTCTTTTCTGGGGTATTTATGAATGTGTTTTAAAAAGAAATTAATGGATTCATGATAGAAGGCATGCATTTATATCTTTGTACAAGTCACTTGTATTCCTAAGGTATTTTAAAAAATACCACTTTTTAAAATGAGTAGCCAATATAATTTTAATCAAGAAAGCATTAAGAATGTTGCAAATGATACAGAAACATAACTATCCTCAAAACAATACATCTAACAAATGTTATCATTGCTTATTAAATATACAAATTAATTATATAAAGCTTGGTGGGAAAATGCACATAATTCTAATGACATGAAGTAGAAATATTTTGATTTAATAGTTCACATATATTTATGTTAGCCATTAAAAATTTGATCGGTGGCATTTCCACTAACTATTTAATTTTTTTGCTGTCATAAGTATTGATGTGAGATATTGAAAAGTTCAGAAGAAAAATGTAATGTGTAGCGTAGTCAATTTCAATGAAATGCATAAGTTAATTTTTTTATATTACAAATTATTCCAAGGTTAAGATTTTTTTTAATTTAAAGATTACAGGTTAGGGATAGATTTAGATTGGATTTATTAAACTATGGCAAAGCACAATAGAAATAAGTAGAGAAAAGATGCCTTTTATGCATGTTTTCTAGATTAAACTATATTGTACTTACATTTTACTTGAGAAAAATTGGGAAACACTCAATTCACCCAGCCTGTTTTTTGGGATCTGAACTTGTGCCAAACTATCACGTTCAGCTGCTACATCCAATTAGCCACTGTAGTGTATGAGCTAAGTGTTATTTGTGCCAATGCATGACTTATATTATAAATTGTAAGAAAATATATATATTAATAAAAGGTAAAGTAGATAATATTTGTAAAAAATAGGTTTTTTAAAGTGCTGAATATTGAGGTTTTAACGCTTTATTCTCCAAAAAGCCCTTTATCAAAAAACTCAACATGAAAATATAGTTTCTAGATTGTCAAGTTACTTAAAAATATTGACTTAACATTTTAATACGGATTTTACATAATGTAATAGGGACAATTTCAGTGTCATGAAATTTAAAACTTTTATTTTTAGAATGCCAGATTATTTAAAAATTTGGACTATAGTAGTATCAGAAGTATGAATTTTAAATAATATAATAGCACCAAATTTAAAGTTATAAAATTTTATTTACTGTAAATTTTTAACTAAGCATTGATTTAAATTCATTATAGCATGTTATATAGCTTACTATCAAAGGTGGCAGAATTCATTCTTTGTTTAGCGATGATTTGAAATGAAAGTTTTTATCGTTTGAAATCAACACCAAGTAAAAAATGAATTTAGCAAATTATGTTTACATTTTATATAATTTTGCAGTATTCTTCTCGTATGTGCTTATATTTATAAGCAAGGATTGATCTCAGTGTACTCATAAATATTTGACAAGTAATCATTTGATGTTTTGTGAGCATCAAGTTAAAATTTTGTTTTAACATGTTTATATAAAAGATGTATGGTTAAAATTATTTCTTTGTATTTTATAGTGTTCTGCGATATGCGGAAATGGAGTTCAGAGTAGAGTTGTATTTTGTGGAGTATGGCATGATGAATCAGTTATAAAGATAGAAGATAAAAGTTGTGATCCATTGAAGAAATTTGATGAATTTCAAAATTGCAGCTCTGCTCCGTGTGAAGGCGTATGGTTTGCTGGGCCCTGGAGTAATGTATGCTAATTTTTAGTGCAATATTATTTTTAATTCTTATAGATCCCTTTAAAAAATTATTTGCTTATTAATTTGTTCTTTTAGAGAAGAGTAACTGCACTGCAATAGGTGCAAAAGCAAAATAATGATGTCTCTTTGCAATATTATCCTTAAATATTAAAATGTATGATGATGATGGTTCGGTAAAACCATCGAAACTAGTCCTGTGAAAATTTTGTAAATTAACGCTGATTTTTGTTGTTTGACTTCTGAATTAAAATGTATCTAATATTTCTTGTATACCAAGTATTTTTCAATATGAGACTGCTATCCTTTTCCTATATTAGTTTTCTAAACTATGTATGTAATGACTATATGTCATAAGAATTGAGACTATGCAATATAAACTGTATACATAGAGTAGCAATCCACAGTCTGGCAAGTGCTCTGCTGTGAAACTTCATGAAACTTAGCTTCATATAAATACAGATAGCTAGGTGATTTGGAGTCACTTTCACTGTAAATGTTTATAGAAATAATACTAATATGATTTACTTGAGATTATACCATAAGATTCATTGATTTTTTATGCATTTGATATATTATGAGGTTTAAGTGTGCAACTAATTAGAGTTAAATAATAGAGATAATAATCAACATATAAACTTTATAAATTCACAGTTTTTTAAAAATCAGGTTTAGCCACTTAGGAGCGATACAGATGGCTAGGTTATTTAGAATCACTTCACCGTGAATGTTTATAGAAACAATAAAGTTATTTCTTTGAGATTCTACCATACGATTCCTGTACATTTGATTTTTTATGAGGTTTCAGTGTGAAACTAATTAGTGTTAAATAATAAAGATAATAATAAACATATAAACTGTGCAAAATCACAACTTCATAAAATCAGGTTTAGCCACTTATTATACATTAATACAAGAAGCAATCGTAAGCTCCTGCTGCTGCGCATATAAATATATATATTGAGGTTTGAATTTGTAGATTGTGTTATTAGTTTTTATGGTTTCGATGATGTGTTTTCAGTGCTCTGTTCCTTGTGGAGGTGGCGAAAGAACTAGAAACACTGTATGTTATCATGACGATAGTGTTGAAGATGTTAGTCTATGTGATCCTGCTGAAGAACCTTTTGATAAAGAGACATGCAATATGGCATCATGTGAGGAAGGTATGCTCAGGCTTTAAAATAAATAAAAATCAGAACTAGAATAAATGTAAAACATTTATAGTACATATTTTCAATGAACTTTGTCGTCTAAACTGTTTTGAAACGAAGAGTCAGTTTAATTTTTGATAATGAATCCTTCCAAGTTCCATACCTGACATTAATATTATTAAATTGATCATAAATTAAGAAGTAATTAGATAAAGTTCTTATAAATTAATTAGTTGATTAATGCTATTAAGTAATTTAATTAAGAAGAATTAAGAAATTTAGAAGTAGTACTTTTAAAGATCAGAATGCTGGATTAATTTTGCGTATTTAAACTTTTTGTAGTTGAAAAACGCTATCTGACATGCAGTAAAATACTGTACGGCAAGCATGTAAAAATTAGTATTTATAAAATCTTAATTCTCTGCTTTAGTAATGTTATGGATGAAATTTAATTTTTACCTTTCTCCCTCTCCAATTTCAGAAGGTTCTGCTGTTTTCTATTATTATTTTTTTAAATTTTCTTTGGTTAACAGTGTATTACAGTATTTAAAAGTGCATTTCTTTTATTATACCAGGCTATAATACAAGACATAATAAAGTAGTTTATAATTGTCTATTTTCATTCAGTTTGCAGTATTTTGAGAGTATGCTCGATACTGAGGAACTTCTAAATTTTTAGCCTATTTTAAATTTTGCCCTTTTGATATGTTAATTAAGATATCAATTAAAAGAAATGTCTTTCCATCAAAATATTTTTAAATTATTGGAACTGTGTTGTGGAATGAACAACACATATTCGTTGCTTCAACTGCTTTTGTACATCTCCTTTTTTTGCAGTGAAAGATATATGTTTTCTAATAAGAATTAGAATAAATATGTTAATTACCAGTTGTGGCTATTTATGATACTGCGTCTGTAAAGTAAAACTGCATGCTAAGTTCAATTAATTCCATAATATATTAAAAAGTCTGATATGTACACCACATGACTTCCTTGTACAGAATATTAAATTATACGCATTTTTTCTTGCATTTCATTTAAACATTTTGGATTGAATTAAATCTACTTCGCCGACAGCGCATAAACCACAATAGAATAAATGCATTCTTTAAAATTCACTTTGTTTACCATAGCGACACTCTGGCGCTAGGTTCACTTAACAATATTATATTTCGTTCATATTATAACTCAGAATGCACAAAATTTATATCATTTAAAGAATTATCTAATCGTTGCCACATGTTCTATTCAAATACTATAATAAAGCTAGAACGATGTATAAAAGAAATTAAGAAAAGAAAACAAAAAAGAAATTGTTTTTCACAGACGATTGAGTATTTCTCATTCAATTAATTCTGTTTTCACTTCGCGACAAGGCAAAAATACATAAAAACTCAAAATATCTGTCTTAAAAATTACGAAGTAAATCTTAAACGCTTTATTTCCTCGAAAAAATTCCAGAAAGGATTAAGCATGATTTAAATAATAAATGAAGGCGTTATATGTTGTTGCAAAGCTTAGCCTCTCTAGATTGGCAACAAATCTACTATTCTGCAGTTTCAAATGTAAACAAATATGTCCCCCATGTTATTTAAAACCTAACCGCACTTAAAAAACTTTTAAATTGTTGATAATTGTACAAATATTGCTAAAAGAATTACAAAAGGCATAAAAATCTTAACCGGAAGATAAGAACAACATAATTCAATCATTTTTAAAGCAAAAAATGCACAATTTACAAAAATATAAGAGTAAAGAAACTGAGATCACTGAGTCGGGTAACAGAGGGGATATATATATATATATAAATATAAATATATATATATATATAATATATTTATATACGTTTGGAGCGGCCGATTGCAACCAAAATACGAGGTGCACATCTACATGTTATAGCAGTCCTATATACAAAATTTCAACGTTCTGAGGCTACTCGTTTTTGAGTTATGCAAGATACGTACGTACATACGTTCGTACAGACGCCACGAAAAATTCTCTTCAGAATTTCAGAATTCATTTTAAAGCAGTTTTATAATTTTTTGGAGGAAAAGAGTGTTTTATTCTGTTCTTACGTACATATATCACAGAAATGCATCGTTAAATTGCATTTGAAAGAGGTCAAAATAGAATATTTTCGTTGAAATATACTGCCTGAAACTTTTCGCGATTACAATACTTCTTTTTTACCTCGTACAAGGAAGTAAAAAACGGGAATTATGCCGCTATAGTTTATAATAAAAAGTGTTAATTTCCCTCTTAAATTAAAATGAAAATGCATGTTAACGCTATTAAAAAGCTGGGGAAAAATAAATGGCATGTATTTTTATTTATTTCTAAGCATTTAAATATAAATAATAAAGACATAAGGTAAAACCAGAGCCCTACTTTGAAACAGTTAAAATGTTTTTAATTTTAAATTTATAGCTTCAGTTTTCATCAAATATACGTAAAACTGAGAAAATTCAATGTATTAAAAGAAAATTCAGTCTATGTGAATTTCTTTTGCTTTCTTCTTTTGTAAATTTTAACTCAGTTTCTAAACGAACGTTTGACTGAATTATACTTTAAAACTAAAAGAAAGAATTTTTCTATTATGGGTGCAGCTTTCTAAATGTCAGATTGGCATTACGATTATTGCTAAGTTCACGTTTGCTTCTCACATACTCTTTGCAGCTACTAGCTTTCTGGATCATTATTTCTATTATTATTTATTATTATTAATTTTTTCATCATCATTATTATTTTTATTCATGGTAATAATAAGGTTTGCCACGAAGATATGGGACAATTATTATATTTAGTATTGTTACGGATTTTGTATTTATTTAGCTAATTTTAGTAGAATCAACTCAAATTGTTTTATATCCCCGGGCAATGCAGCACGAGACTTATTTGAAGAGGAAGCTACGCCGAAAAATTAAAAATACAGGAACACGCACATTTAATAAATATATATCTCGTAATTGTACGCTTTTGCTTTCCGGAAAAATCGATAAAATACCAGAATATTCTAGTGCTTGATTTAAAAGCTTATAAAATCTGATGAAAAGCATCTCAATTCATTTGCTCACAAAGTTGTTTACTTAATTCATATGGTTTATTATAGCGAATCCGCGGTGAGATTGGATTAGCTTTCTCTGTTTTGAATTGAATTTTTTTAAACGTTTTAGTATTATAGTTTAAAATATAACTGTCAGATATTGCGATATTTTACGAATGTCTGAAGAAATTTCAGCATTTTGTTTTATTTTTTGGTGATAAGAATAAATTTTGTTCACTTTTCACTGGACTTGTGGATTCAATTTATTACGAACCCATATGAACGCAGCAGTATGTTAAGTATTTTACTAATGAATTGAAATGTAATTGATTGGAATTTTTATTCTATTAGGAATGATATGAAAAGGTGGATTTTTTATTAACAGAACAAGTTTGAAAGAAATTTCCACAAAATCACGTATCTCATTTTGAGAAACTAATAAGAAGCACATGACTTGGATTAGTGAAGGAAATAAGAGTAGCCACCTTATCCGAATTTTGTATGTATATATGCATTATATATATGCACAGAAAATGTGTGAGAGATGAAAAATCAAAACAAAATTCGGAGTGATATTTCATGGGAAATAAAGAATTAAACTATAAGTGACTATAAAATGAAAATCTAAAATCAATGAGCATTACAAAATTAAACTCAAAGAGGAGAAAATTCAAAAATAAACTCTCCTATTCAATAGACAAAAATACTAATCGTAATAAGATAACTAAAATATAAAACAGTTAAATTAGCAAAGTAAACCATCCAGTCAAAAATTATATAACAAGGAAATTCAGATGAGTTTTATTTAAAAAATAGGTAAGAAAGGACAACAGAGAGAACTTTAGTAAAATATTGTAGTTAAGGGGACTCATACACCTTAAACCCCTCATGATCTTCGAATATGTGACTATTGTAAGAATTGGGATATTTTATTTATTTTAAAAGCAATTACTTCCAACTTTTTACAGCTGACTTCATGATATAGCTGCTTTGGAAACTAGTAACCAGAAAGTTTGTGTTGCCACAAATATTTTTGTAATTTAATCCTCTTTGTTACAAAATATTTCGCCATATTTCCACCTGCCGCGCATGATATTTTAAAAATGGCTAATGGTACATACTTGAAATTGGATGGAATTCTTTATATGGACACTATTTTCTAACTGAACCAACAATCTGATGAATATTTTACTATTAAAAAATTTTATGGACGAAAACATTACAATTTTTTTTTAATAAAATACATCTTATGAACTCAACTCAAAATAAAATAAAAATTTAACATGAAAGTTTTAGAATTTTAGGTTCACAGTAGTTTCCAGACGTTATAAAAGCTATATATTAAATATGGAATTAAATTATGAAACAGAATGTCTTAAACTGTGCGCGCAAGTTGGAAATAACGACGAAAAATGTTGTCACAAAGCGGACTAAATTATAAAAATATTTGTGGCAACACAAACTTTCTGATTACTATTTCAGAAAGCAGGTATATTATGTAGTCATCTGTAAAAAGTTGGTAGTAATGGCTTTTAAAATAAATATGTTATCTCAATTCTTGCAAGAGTCACCTATTCGAACATCTTATGGGTTTTAAGGAGTATGAGCCCCTTAAAATAAAGAACTGTCAAAACCTTTTTTCTTCGGAGAATGCGGATAAGTAAATAATTCCCCCCTTCGCAAAAAGTATGATTCTGAGAATGATTACGTAATCATAAGAAACTCTATTAATTAAAGTGAGTCAATAAAATTACAAAGTTGCTCTGTTTTCTGCTAGGTACGGTACATTTTTATACGTAATCAAATACAGCTGCACACCAACCAATCTATTAAAAATGCTTCAAATCTAATCACATAGCAGCAAAAAAAAAAAAAAAAAAAAAAAAAAAAAAACATTGTATGTGTATAATAAAATTAAGCAGTGTTCAGCTTAATATTTGCATTAGTTTTTGGAGAAAGGTTTTCACAT